CCACCTTGTTCAGGCTTAGCTAGATAATCTGCGGAGTGTTTCTGGTCCTCCAGTCATTCTGTTTGTTCAACACCTTGGAAAGGCAACAACCCTGCTAGGTATCACTCCGATTTAATATTGAATAGTCGTGGATTGACCTGTTGAGAGCGAAAGCAAACTTTTAATTATTTTGATTGCGTCTTTCTCTAGCGCAATAACATGAAGCCTCTGTGGACGCTCTCCGAGCACGCCAGCGGTGTACAGTAACATATGCAAGTATCAGCGGTGTACAGCAACATACAAAAATATTGACAAAGTATAGTTCGTACTCCAGCACTTGCATATAGGCGTTTCACTGTTGATACTATCCTCTTTGGCCAGCCTGATTGTGGTACACCGCGTTCTCTGCAGCGACTACGATGCTACCTGGCCCACGACGCGGGCACTCTATGAAATTCTCTGTACTATCGACACATATCTGTTGTGTGCACGGGCACTTCACTGACACGAACTTGAGCCAATGAATTCACAAACCGCGTCAGGAGTACAATACATTGAATTAACATCACAGAAATCGCTACCATAAAACTGTTACGGTGATTAGGGTACCTCATAGTGCTAGCACTTAATTTGAAGGCTCTTGCAATTCGCCGTAAAGCCGCACTTTCCCCAAAGGAAGGGCGGCGTACCAGCAAGGAGATACTTGAATTTCTCATTACAGCCAATTCAGGGCAGCCGCAGAACTTGAGAGGCTACAGTATGCATCCTTGATTAAAATCCCATTTAAACTGTAGAAAGCCCATTGCTGTCAGCCGAACGGCTTGTGAAGACCAAAGCTGAGGTGCAACACTACTGGCTTCGGGCTTCCAAGCTTACTGAAGGCCTCCTGAACACAAAGACCTTTTAAGGTGTTTATTTAGTTGCTTAGGGGTACTTTAATAGATAGTTTATGATGAAAAGCCATTGAGCTTCTGAATGTGCCTTGCAGCCGCGCAGTCTTGCTGGGCGCCTCCACAGCGTCAAAAAACATGCAATTAGTATATGGCTTTTAGTTTTCTCTCTCTTATATGTTTCATCAGTGATATGAAACTCCCTAACGCGTCGTAAGTACATTCTTAATTTTCAATTATAAAATCACTTCTAGGCCCTTAAGTAAGTGCCATCTGCTGCATTTGCATTATTAGCTCAAAGCTCGCAACCTCATTATCTGGACATTTTGGCCTCATGCATTGAGGCTATCTGTGTTCCTAGAACATAAAAGCCGATACCTGTAGCGAGTCAGGCTCGGCCTGCCCTTTCTACCCTATATTTGCCCTGTTATATTTCTAAAGATGCCTTTATTCACGGTTCGGGTGCAAGACGGCATCTAGCACGACTTAAAATGACATGATTCCTTTCAAAGCTTAGAACGGCTGACATGGGGTGTGTGGCAAGCTTGGCGGCATGAGCGAAATTTGCTGACAATTTGTTGTGTTGCCCAGATTGTCTGAGATGGCGATAAAGAACCACCATTCCATTCGTTGCAACTAAGTGATCTTTTGGAGCACAGCTTTCGGCTTGGATCATAATTATTACGACGTGGGAAACTGCGCCAGATGACAAACTAGATGGCTATAAACGCAGGCTCCTTAGCTCTGTGCAGCTATTCAGACATTGTCACACACGTGGGAAAGGTATGCATTATATATATTTTCCCCGCATATTCTCATCAAGCATTAAATGCTACAGGCTCTCTTTTGTAAAGGTACCACTGGAAAATGTTCAACTGGAACTGAATACACTTTTTAGGGCTAAAATTGAGTCGATGCTGGCGTGCTTTCAGGTTTGGCCCGGCCGATGGAGCCAAAAGCCCCTTGTATGAGTGTGTACATTTCTCAGTAGCATGAGTTGCTTTTCAGCCGCAATAATGATTGACATACGCAATATTAGAGGTGGCAGCTCCAGGGAAGCAAAAGTAGGAAACAAGGAAGGAGTAGATGAAGGCGTGCTAACTAGGAGTGCATCAGCGTGTTTAGAGACGCTGTGCAGCACCGTATTTCGCACAATGCCGTAATCTGATATTCTTGTGCCCGGAACTTTTATATTTAACAAATAATCAAACTTTGATTATGCCTTTCCTTGTGTTCTGCTATGCACGTCTTTGAAAGATTCCGCGGTGCGATTTTTCATGTATGCCTCAGAGAAGCCCTAGAATAAAATTGTGATAATAAAAGGCCTTCTCAAACAAATCAAGCTATCACATGTGTCTTTTGTAACGTTGGAACAGATTCGGAACTATTCCCGGCTCTTTCTAGAGTCAGTGCTGGGTTTGAAAAGTGACATGTTTCCTAGAGTAAACGGACGCTCTTGCTTCGATTCCCCACTGTAGTGCACAGCGCCTCCTGCTGCGACTACGCTGCAACCTGCCCCACGAGTAGGGGCCTATGATATCCTTCTAACTTCGGCGCATCTCCCTGAAATAACAGTCCACATATAATAAAATGTGGTTATGTTTCTATATTTTCAAACCAATTTTCTTGAAAGTTCCGCACTCGGGGTTCTTGCTTGCCTCCTTGGCCCTGTGGGGAGGAGGCCTGCACCGGTGCCGGCGCTATCCCCAGGCACCAATCTCCAGGTAATCACAGACACGTCTAGTGTACATATGCTAATTTGCTGATAAACTGCCTTACTTCGACACTTGGAAGAAGGTCCTGACCTCGTTCAGCTTGTTGGCCTCTTGTAGGCCGCCAGCTAGCTATCTTCTTACGGTCACCAGCAAGCCCTATGATATGTTGTAGTGCCTGCGCACTATACCCACCGTCGCAATGCATTCGTTGCTTATCAATGCCGCCAAAATTTTACAATTGGAGGATGAATTTGGCTCCGCAAATACTACACGATATGCAAATATCCGTCGGATGTCTCGGGGAGGAAATTTTCAGTTTGAAGTCGACGTAATTTACTAAGCAATATCTAAGGAAAAGAGTTTGGCTGTCGGCTTTTAATCCATTGAGGTTGCCTTGGGTGCCATGATTAGGGCCCTCGCACAAAAGACTCACTGTCAGCCCATTTAACCATAACCTGCCCCTTCCGAAAACTTTTAGAGTTCGTGCTGAACGAGTTTTGAATATCTACTAGGTGTACAAGCCGGTTTGTTGTGGGGAGAACAAGCCGACTGAAGGGGCTTCAACATTGTACGCTGTTTGTGCATTTATTGAAACAATTCGATTACACTGGTGGCTTGTCTGTAAGAGGATCCAAACATTTGTACTATTGGCTGATTAAGTTGGGAGTGTAGCCGGCCTTTCAATTGTGCCTTAGCCACTGATTAGTAGATTAACGGTGCCACAGAATCTGTGCTAAACAGCGCCTTCAGCTGCCACTACGCCTGTCCTTGGCCCACGAATAGGGCGCTCTGTGAAAAACCTTCTACCTTCGACGCATCTCTTATGAAACAAAAACCAAAATATCAATAAATGTAGTCGTCCTCTCAAGTTCTGAAATCGATCCTCCTTAAAAGTCCCCCCAATTACGGGTTCTTCCTTCCTTGGTCCTGTGGGTCGGAGTGCACCTGTTCCGGCACTGGGTGTAGTGCGCAGGCACTACAATGGGGCTTGCTGGTGAACAATAGAGGATAGCTAACTGATGACCTATAGGCAGTTAAGAGGTTGAGACGCGGATTGAGAGCTGTAACCTCTTACTAAAGAAATACAAATGCAATTTATTAACAAATTAACATGTATATACTAGAAATGCATGCGAATGCCGACAACGCCGGCACAGGTGCGCGGCACATCCTCACCGGACCGGCACAGCAAGAACGAGAAGAAATGACTTTTATGAAACTATGGTTTTGAGAACTCGAGACAAAAACGGTCTTTTTAATACATTTGTAGACGTTACGCGACCGATGCGTCGGTAGTAGAGAATATTTCTTAGAACGCCCGAGTTGTGGGCAGTGCAGAATCGTAGACGCTGCAGAGAACACAATGTACTACACTGGGGCTGGCGGTAGCACCGGTGCCGGCGCTATCGCCAACCCCATTATCCAGGTATTCACAAACATGTCTAGTTTACACATGCTAATTTGCTGACAAATTGCATTACTTCTCCACTAGTAAGAAGTTCGTGTCCTCGTTCAGCGTTTTCACCTCTTATAGTTCACCAGCTAGATATCTTCTTAAGGTCACCAGCAAGCCCTGTTCTAGTGCCTGCGCACTACACTATCCAGACACGGTCTTTCGACTTCACGTGACAAAGATGAATTGGTAAGGACGCTACTGTAGAAGGTTTTTGTAGGAGAAAGGAAAGCATGACAATGCTGTTCTGCCCCTTCTTCGAGGCTGTAGTTGCGGCAATGGCCACTAATTGACCGTACTGTTTCAGTCCCCAAAAATGAAAGCAATCGCGTAGTCTCATTCTGAGTCTTCTTCATTCTAATAAAATCTTTTTCAGCGTGAAGTATTCAGTTTCATGTGTGAACATTCATGCGAAATGCATTGTGCAGCTTCAATCGAATATTCCCATAAATACTTGGACCACAGGCAGGTCAGTTGAAGATAATGCCTGAGAAAAGTGAAAGGCAGCTTACAAAGTATTGAACAGGGGCCGTTGCCACCATAGATTCCCTTGTTGCAAATGGGCACGAGCACATTAACAATAATTTAATGAGCTTTTTATCCCGACCCCTCCGCCTAATAGGTCAACCCACAGCGTGCTGATTGATTATATGCGCTGTGGATAGAACTACTAGGTGGAGAGGTCGGTGTAGTAGACTGCGCTCTCTACAGCGTCTACGATGCTGCACGACCACAACTCTAGCGCTCTATGAAATCTTTTCTTCTATAGATGCACCGGCCTCGTAACGTCAGCAGGCAAGCAACGGTGCCTATTCGTTCAATGATTCCAAAGGGTCCTAGGTAAAGGGGCTCGAACTTAGGACAGTTAAATGAAGCCGGTAGATGCTTGCTGCTGAGCCAAACCTTGTCGCCCACTGCATACTCCACAGCTCGGCTCTTTGTGTCTGCGTAGTACTTCTGCTGTCATTTTGCCTTCTGTATGTGGCTCTGCGCTCTGTCGCAAAGCTGCCGGAAGAGCTTAGCTGTCAGAGGAGTGAGCGTAGGAGCTAACACGCCGACGATATCGAGTTTCGCAGCAGCCAGCGGGTTCTCGCCAATCATGACGTCGAAGGGAGAGAGCTCGGTGGATGAATGGCTTGTCGTGTTGTGGGCAAAATCCAGGGCCGGAAGCAGACGCTCCCACTCGCGTTCGTCGGATTGGATGTAGGTACGAAGCATCTGCTCCAGTGTGCGGTTAACCCGTTCAGTTTGACCGTCGCTTTGGAGATGGTAGGACGAGGACATGGCACGTTTGATGTTAAAGTGGTGACATAGTTGTTGCCAGAGGTCCGACTGGAAGCGGGGGTCGCGGTCCGATATGAGTACCTGTAGAAATCCGTGGTAGCGGATAAGACGGTCTGCGAGAAGCTCCACGGTGTCTGCTGCTGAGAATGACTTCTTTGCAGGAACGAAATGAGCCACCTTGATGAAGGAATCGACCATCACGAGAATCGAGTCGTTATCGGTCTTCATAAGGGGAAGATCCATGACAAAATCGAGGCCCACATGTGCCCACCGACGCGAAGGGATGAGTAGCTGTTGAAGAAGGCCTCCAGCTTTCTGGCTCAGGGACTTCGACGCACGACAGTGAGTACAGGAATCAACATACGCAGTAGTGCAAGCACGTATCCCTGGCCAGTAGTAGTGATTGCTCAGAGCCGTGAAGGTCTTCTTTTGGCCTCAATGGCCGGCTGTCACATGGCCATGATGTGAATGCAAGACACGCGTAAGGAACTCACGGAATTGTGGAACACAGATTCGCCATAGTCCGTAAGTACAAATGTGCAAGTAAGGCGGAACATAACGAAAGGTGACGTGACGTTTGCGAAACTCTATTTGTATAGCGTGTCCTGGTTGTTTTGCAGCGACTTCGTAGGGGGCGCGGAAAACAGAACACTTCGAGTAGGCTTGCGGCCATTCGGGCGCCGCAGGAGGGTCAGCTCGCGTCTTCGTTGCAGGTGTAGGATGTTCCGCCTCTCGATTGGGCTCAGGCTGCAGAGTTGTAGGTGGTGATGGCAAGGTGCGTTGTCTCGATCGTCGCGAACGAATGCCGGCGAGCTCGCTGTAGTTAGCAGGCCGACCACGAGAGCGAGGAGCCACGCGAGTTTGTTCTACTGCAAGCATCAATGGTTTCGTTAGTGTGTCGTGCGAGCAGGCGTTGGGGAGACCGGGACGGCGAGACAACGCATCAGCCACCTGGTTGTGCGCTCCTTGAACATAAGCAATGTGCAAATCCGGGAACTTGGCCAGGAAATCTAACCACCGAGCGGTGCTTCTGCGCAGAGGCTTCGATGCTTGGAGTTGTTGGAGATGGGTAAGACCTTGGTGATCTGTATAAGCTGTAACTTTTGCGATACGGAGCAAATGAGACCACTTGTCCAGGGCCGTGACCAACGCCAAGATTTCTTGACCGTAGATCGAGTATCTCTGTTGTGTGGAGTTCATCACTTGGCTGAGGAAACCGATGGGCTTGCCTTCTTGTTCTAGAACCGCTCCGATCGCATAGCCAGAGGCATTCGTGTATAACTCGAAAGGCTTCGTGGTGTAAGGAACTTTTAATGTAGTGATATCGATTAAGAGCTGTTTGAGCTGCTGCACCGCCTTTGTGTGAAGTTCTATCCATTTGAAACTAACATCTTTCCGTGTAAGATCAACCAGAGGCCGCGCAACGTCTGCATAATCAGGTCCCATGAACGTGCAACAGCAATTAATGGCGCCGAGGAACTGCCGCACTTGCGTTTCATTTTCCAGCACCTCTGGCCAGTGCCGGATAGCTTCGATTTTATCTTCTGCAGTTTTATGCCTTCGGCAATGATAGCGAAACCCAAACATGTGATTGCTTGGTAGCGAACTTGCATTTGCGAAATTTTGGGTAGAATTGGGTCTGCAGGAAAGCACTGAGAACTTGTCGCAGGAGGGAAACGTGTCCAGAGAGGTCGGAACTACTGGATAAGTACTTGGCGCCTCCCAGCATCTCCAGAATGGTTTGAATGGGAGGTAATGGAAAATCAGGAGCGACTGTAAGGGCATTCAGAGCCTGGTAATTAACAACCATACGCATCTTCCGCTCCCCGGAGCCATCCTCACACTTGTCGACCATTATCGTAGGAGAGCAAATAGGCGAATATGTTGGTCCGATCCAACCACTGTCCCCTAATTTAGCTATTTCCTGTTTGTGGAATGTGAGCTCATCTGGGGTCATTCGGCAAATCGCAGATTTCGCTGGAAGTTTTCCAGGTACAAGTAGGATATGGTGATCATGAGGGCGCTTCGGCAGTAATCCTTTAGGTGTTATTGGGGGAGACCGCCCGAAACTCTTTCAACACCTTGATAATCTCGAATGGAATAGCTTGTGCCTCTGTCGAGTTTATCCACTCATCGAAGAGTGTGTGTTCGAGTTTCGCCGTAGGCCATGGAGACTCTTCTTCATCCTCCGCTGTTGTCAAGGCAGTAGAAGCCAAAGGACGGCTAGAACCGGAGGCTTTGGTTCGATTCCTGATCAACGCGGAGCAAAGTGCGCCTTGCCACTCGTCCGTGAACCTCAGTGCCACTGACGAGCCAGCGTCGAGCAAAGCCAGGATGTAATGCAAACCGTGCTCTGGTGCTCTTTGTATCTTTGCGTAGGCCGCCGCCTGGCGAACAACCGACGTTATGCGTGCCTTCGCCTTAATCTTCGCATGGGATTTATACCTTTTAGGTGGCGGCCGTAGGAATATGGCAGCCTCCTCCGCTGACATACCCGCCACATGCTTAGCCAAAATGTCATAAATACCCTTGCTCTGCAGGAGTTCTTGGAAGTGCTACTATGTGACCGTCACCCTGCAGTGTCTCTTCACTCGTCCTAACGACCGATAACTCGCACCAATGGCCGTTCACATAGCTCCGGAGCTTGCCGGACTGAAAATACCAGGGCACCTTATGCTCAGTCAGCCAATCCAAACCCAAGACTAAATCATAGGGAACGGTTCCCACTAAGAAGTCCCCTGAAAACCACATAACATCGTCAACCCCGTCACAACTTGATCAATGCTTAATTGTTCACCTGTAGCAACAGTGAACCTTTGCTCTTCTGGAAGTCTCCGCACCCTCAGCTGCAATCGCTCGACTGTTTTAGGGTTAATGAAACTTCTCGAAGCGCTTGTGTCTAAAAGTGCCTGGCATGAACTTCCTGCAAACTCAACGCGAAGTGCCGCTGTTGCACCCCCGTAACACAAGGCTCCTCCTTGGTTGCAAGATTCCTTCGCACTAGTTTCCTGCCACTAGTGCGGCATAGTCTCTATCGCTTCTGGCCTGCAGTCTTCTTCTGTCGCTTCTGCAGATTTCCCGCTGCTATCTGTCTTCTTGCACGGCGCCTCTTCATTCCGCATCGGCGTCGGCCCAGACTCCAACCGCGCTTCCGAAGGCGGCTGAGTCCCCTGCACGACCTCAGCGCTCTTTTTGTCTCCATCTACCGTGTTGAGGAGGCGGTTCCCCCGCTCTAGGAAGACTGGAATGGCATTAGGTCCTGTCGCTACCGCAAACATTATCCCTTTGCCATGGCTACGCGGCCTAGAACGCTCGTCTCCAACAACGCCTAGGCGTCGCGGTTTAAACGTTCGGTCTTCTCAGTGCTGGGACGGATAGGTTGCCTACTACTCTTGTTTTCCGACTCGGCACGGCCTCAGTATGTAGGACAGTCACCAGCATAGTGTCCCACGCCGCCACACTTCTTACAGGTCTCGCCTAGCCGCTTGGTTCATTACCCCTTGCTGGGGCAAACTCGTGCCGGGTGTCCACGACCCTGACACTCGTAGCAGTTCCCGGAGTTTTCTCCAGGCCTAGTTTCATTTTCCTGCTTTTGATGGGTTGCAGTTGCCCCAGTAGCAGCTCGCATCGCTCGACTAGCCCTTTCTCGTAGCTCTAGCACGGTCTGCTTAGGTTCATAGAGTCGCGCTGCTGCTGTTGCCGCTTGTTCCCGGGAGGAATACTTCACCAGCCCATTATTTGTAATGAGAAGATGGAGGCCAGTTGGTAGCCCAGCGCAGTAGAATTCAGCGAGTTCGACGGGGGAGATCCCAACTCCACGCTCTGCTACAGCCGCAAACTGGTCCGTATACTCTTTAGGGTTTCCATTACACCGTGCTTTAGCCAACTCCGTTAGCAGTTGACTCTACGACATTGTCTTGTCGAACCCTTCCAGAAGCCGGCGCTGTACAGTCGCCCAGTCGCTTAGGTTAATAGTTCGCTGTAGATACATCCAATAAGCTAGAGCCGGACCCACAGGATGGTCGATAAGTGCATCCCCCCACTCACTGGTCTCCAATCCCATCTGAGTGTACCGTCGTTCAATACGCATTAAAAAGGCCTGCATAGTACTGCCGTCTGCAGGGAGTATAAGCGACGTTACGCTCGATTCTCCAGGCCCGCCTATAACATTCTTTTTCACAGCCATTGCAGAGTGGAATTTGTCCCACGTGACGTACGGACCGTCCTGTGGCATGCCTTTAACATTTGCTGTAGGTGCCACCTGCTGGGGTGTCTCCTTACGCCCGTGCGGCTGCTCTGCCACCGTGGGTTTCGGAGTAGCATGTCGAGGTTGGGTTGGTATTTCACTGGGCAACTTGTTTACTGACATGGTAGAAGTGTCCTGTTGCATAGGTCCAACTACGCGTCCGCTGCGTACGCTGCGTAGGTGCATTCCTTACTCAGCTAAGATATCTAGGTGCGAATTATTAAAGCAAAGTATTTCTACCCTCAGGTCTGGAAAAAAGTTTTTATACTCCTGAACAGCCCCCAAATGTAGCACACTGCGTTCTCTGCAGTGTGTACGGTGCTGGTGCTGCACAACCCTCGATTCTGACGCTCTATGAAATCTTCTCTACTACCGATGCATGGGTCACGTTTCGTCTACCAATTTATTAAAAAGATCGTCTCATATCAAGTTCTCAAGATCATATTTCATAGAAGTCACTTCTCATGGTTCTGGCTTTGCTGGTGCGGTGAGGATGTGCCGCGCACCGGTGCCGGCTTTGTCGGCAGCCCCAATCTTAGAGCACTCGCAGGCATTTCTAGTATATACATGCTAATGTGTTAATAAATTGCATTTGTATTTCATTAGTAAGAGGTTACAGCGCTCAAGCCGCGTCTCAACCTCTGAACCGCCTATAGGTCATCAGTTAGCTATCCTCTATAGGTCACCAGTAGGCCCCATTGTAGTGCCTCCGCACTACAGTGCCTGCGCACTACACTCGGGATGAAAGGCCCACTGAATTTTACGTCGGCAGTGCTCACATAAGAATGCTTTCCGCAACATGGTGTGAAGCAGCTGCGCAAAGTGAAAGTAAACTTAGAATCCAAAACTATCGAGATAAAACAGAACGCATGGGAAGAAGTACATCATCTTCTTCAAATGCTAACTTGACGGGAAATCTCGTGTTCACAAATAGGCGCTTCTTCTTTTGCCGAAGCTCGTTTCTCACCCTTTTCGCAAACGCACACGTTTGTTAATACAGAAAAGCCAGCGACAAAGAAAAACCAGTGCGTAAATGATTCGATAGGAAAATCAGATGCAGTCATTGTAACATTGTTGCTGCGTATTGACTTTTGTGGCAGTCAATTTTGCAGTAGTACTTTTGTTTGTGTCTAAAGTTGCGAACTTGTGTGGAAGGTGAAAGCAAGGCCATACTTTCTATATTCAGTGGCGATTCGGAGCCTTCCAGTGCGCGGCTCTCCCAAACAGACGTGGGATGCCATGTGTTTTTGTACACTTGAGTTAGTATTTTATCATGTATTAGCCTTAACTGACACAGAGGTGCCTTCCAAGGAGGCGGGAGAAGACCCAATTTGTTAATTGGGGCAATACTTAACAGTATGCGCCTGTCCCTCCCTTACTGCCGTTCTAACGAGAGACATCAAAGGACTTCGTGCTTGTAAATAAGCTGACGGCACACATTCTGCAGGAAGCAATATGTGAAGCTCAAAGAGCACTAAAAATATACACAAAGCATAGTTAAAGTAGCAAAAGCATGTTCAATCAATTGAAATATATCCTGTTCCCTTAAAATTACTAGTTTTCTGCGCGCTAAGCACGATCGCTTCAGTTCTGGCACATTGGTACAGTCTGACTGCAACTATGCCAATGTGGGCAACACTGCGCTAACATAGGTTGGCTGACAGGCACGGATTCACTTGAGACTTGGCTACTCGCTGTAGAGTCCCGTGCTATCACATAGTAGTTTTTACTTGCGCTCTATTTTGGCGCAATTGCTTCCTACTTGTCCGTTACCCGGAGCACGGCTACTGTGCAGTCGCTCGCATAGCGCACCAAGGTACCTTTCACAGGACCGTGCTGGCGAGCGGTCAGCACGCCCTCGCCCACTTTCTCATTTCTATGAATGGCCAGTGCCTGAGTGTAGCCTTGAAGAAGAGCATTGATCTGCTCAATAGGAGATAACAGTTTGCGCTTAGGATGCTCGTCTCGCCAGATACCTGGGTGAGCAACAACGCGGTTAACGTTGACAAAAAGACGCCAGATACTGCAATAGTACAAAACTCAGTAATTCCTTCATTAACTTACCCCTAACGATTCGTCTTATCTCCAACTAGACTGGCAGTTTTGTCCACTGGGGTCGGAAAAAGTAACGTGTGCCAGAGACGGCATGAGCGTTTATGCTTGCTTTTCTGGTAAGACAGGTGCGGCAAAAAGAACTTATATGAAACTTTGATTACGTTGCTACTTGTTGCCACGTGTTGAAGTCTCAAACTCTGCTAATGTGATTTTCCATGACCGAATGCGGGTTTTACGGCGTGCTATGAAGACGAAACGCTAATATGAGGTCTCGCAGTTATTGAGCGGGCTGACGCTTGCTTAAAAGTTTCTCTTAGCCGACTTGCTTTTGAACCTTGTAACACTGTTTGGAGGCTGCCGACGCTACAGCAGTATAGCTGTTCCACTGAAAAACTGTGATGCCTGCTAGCTTCGCGACAAAATGATTGCTTGAACACGTCTGGTGGCCTGTTTCCTGGGCGCTTAAAAGCAACTTATTTGCGACGTGCGCAAAACAAGTCTCTATCCCCATTACATCGGCCTGAGTAGCTTTTGTATGTATAACCCGCAGCTTTGGGGTCGACACTTCTTACTCGTTTAATGGGAGGCTTCGGACAGAATGCTTTTCACAGAATACTTTTCGAGGCACCTGTTGCGCAACTTTTGCGCACTGTGATTGCTGAACAGTACGCAAGCAATAAAAGAAACACTGCCACTCAAAAACTCTCGGAGGCAAAGCTGACGACGATGGGACTCGAACCCACAACCTTCTGATCCGAAGTCAGACGCCCTATCCATTGGGCCACGCCGCCGCCCTCCATCCGAAAAAAAACACGCCAACGAGAATTTTCTGCAATCATGCATCAACAATCTACCGCAATGCTGCCATGCTAAATTTGAATGGAATCCTATGGAAGATGAATAGAGCAAGTAGCTCGAATAGCACCAAATATGCAAGCACTACGGCACAGTAGGAAGATGGAAGTTTCGGCTTTTCGGGTCTAGATCTGCGCGCCGTCGAAATAGGCGGCTAGAGAAACAAATGGAAAAAATTAGAAGCTCAGAGCCAATGTAGCCAGCCATAGTGGAACTTCTAAGGGAACACAACGAAAAGCGGCACCTGAGTGGATTTAATTCTGCAGCCCAAAAATACACATGTAGCAAAATTAAAGTGAAAGCAAATGCCTTGCCTGAGTATTGAGACACGTAAAACTGTACACCCGTAATGGAGTCTGAAACGGGTATAAGTTGCGCTGATGAGCTGAAAACTGAAAATGCAATGAATTTATAACTCCTCAAAGAGCGAAAATCACGCTGTAGCAGTCTATCATTGTTCTCTAGAATAAGCTAGAACATCCGTGGACGCTGAATACTTCTGTGCACACTTTACTCAGCTGCGATGGTGATGCTTGTTGTAGTGCGCAGCACTACAACTGATTGAAGGCATATCCTCCAAAAGTGCAAAATTTAGCGTATCTAAGTTAAGGCACAATTTGAAGGACTTCATTTGAAGAAACGTGGTGGCTGCTGCAGACTAGCCTTGAGGTGCTTCTCAGATAGGCCAGGGGTTGAGGGTGGCTGTAGTGCACAGACACTACACTGGTCCCCCAATGAGCCAGTGGTGAGTGTAGTACACTGCGTTCTCTACAGCATTTACGGCGCTGCACAACCTTCGACTCTGGCGCTCTATGAAACCTTCTCTACTACCGATGCATCGGTCATGTATCGTCTACCAATTTATTAAAAAGATCGCTTTATATCAACTTCTCAAAAACATATTTCATAAAAGTCACTCCTCATGGTTCTTGCTTTGCTGGTGCGGTGAGGATGTGACGCGCAACGGTGCCTGCGTTGTCGACAGCCCCAATCTTAGGGCATTCGCAGAAATTTCTAGTATGTATATACTAGAAATGTTAATTTGCTAGTAAATTGCAATTGTATTTCACTAGTAAGAGGTTACAGCGCTAAATCCGCGTCTCAACCTGTAGTACACAGCACCTACTGTAGAGCACAGCGCCTACTGCTGCGACTATGCTGCTACCTGCTCCTCGAGCAGGGCGTATGATCGGCACCTAACGTAGGCCCATTTCCTTGAAACAGTAGCTTATATTTATAGAAATACAGTAATTCTTAGGTTTCCAAAATCTGTTGTTGTTCGATTTGCCCCACTCGGGGTGCTCGCCTCCTAGGCCCTGTGGGAAGGAGCCCTGCACTGGTGCCGGCGCTATCGCCAGCCTCAGTCTCCACGCATTTTCAGGCACCTCTAGCGTATCCATATTAAGTCGCAGACAAATTGCCTTACTTTGACCCTAGTGGGAGGGTCCTGTCCTCCTCCAGTGTTGCGACCCCTTGTAGGTCGCTAGCTAGCTATCGTCTATAGATCACCAGCAAGCCCTATTGTAGTGTCTGTGCACTACAATTTCCCCCCTTGCCGGACTGAAGAGACCTACCCCAAAACACGTTATTTTTGCCTTTTCAATCTCTGTGCTCTTCTAAAGCTAACGCCGTGAGCGCACGCGGTGCGCAGGGCTCCCTCGCCCCTCCTCATTGAAGGGTGCCCGTGCTGCAGGCGGTGGAATGTGACGGACCCATACCTCTACGCCTCGGAAGGACCAATGTTGTTTCGAGCCTGAAGACGTCTTCGTTGGCGGCGGCGCCAAGCGCGAAGCAAAGCCGGGCAGCCTGTAAGGTGGTGAGCTGGCTCCCATGTGGCTTGATCTTCAGGGGTCCCGCGCCAGTTCACGAGGTACCGGGCTGCATCTCCCGAGCCACTTTGGCCCATAATATAATCGATTTCATACTCCTCCGTTGGATTGCCTGCTGTATCGCGGATAGGAGGCCAGGCGGCGTCGGCTTCCGGGAGAACCAAGTCGGGAGGGCGGGGGCGGTGGAGAACTAGCTTCGAAACATGGAAAACGTGATGGCATTCATAGGTGGGAGGCAGAACGAGACGGTGAGCGACGGTCCCTATGCGTTCGATGACTTCAAAGGGTCCGCGGTAAAGGGGCCCGAACTTAGGGCAGCGGTTGAAAGGAGGTAAGTGCTTGCTACTGAGCCAAACCTTGTCTCCCAGTACATACCCCACTGCTCGACGCTTTGTCTCTGCGTACTTCTGCTGCCATTTTGCCTTCAGGATGTGACTATGTGCTCTGTCGCAGAGCTGCCGGAAAAGCTTAGTCATCGGAGGAGTGAGCGTAGGAGCTAACGCGCCTACGATATCAAGGTCCGCAGCAGTCAACGGGTTGTCGCCAACCATGACCTCGAAGGAAGAGAGCTCAGTGGATGAATGACTTGTTGCGTTGTAGGCAAGTTCCAAGGCCGGAAGCAAAAGCTCCCACTCGCGTTCGTCAGATTTGATATAGGTACGAAGCATCTGCTCCAGTGTGCGGTTAACCCGTTCAGTTTGGCCGTCGCTTTGGGGATGGTAGGACGAGGACATGCACCGTTTGATGGTAAAGCGGCGACAGAGTTGGTTCCAAAGATCCGACTGGAAACGGGGGTCGCGATCCGATATGAGCACCTCTGGAAAACCGTGATAGCGGATAAGACGGCCTGCGAGAAGCTCCACGGTGTCTGCTGCTGAGAATGACTTCTTTGCAGGATCGAAATGGGCCATCTTGCTGAGGGAATCGACCAGGACAAGAATCGAGCCGTGCCCTGTCGTTGTAAGGGGAAGATCTGTGATAAAGTCGAGACTCACGTGCGCCCATCGACGAGAAGGGATGAGCAACTGTTGAAGAAGGGCTGCAGGCTTCTGGTTAAGATACTTTCTGGCTCGACAGCGAGTGGATGACGCAACATAAGCAGTAGTGTAGGCGCGCATTCCTGGCCAGTAGTAGTGCTTTCTGAGAGCCGCAAAGGTCTTTTTCTGGCCTCGATGGCCGGCTGTGATATGTTCGTGATGTGAATGCAGAACGTGAGTAAGGAACTCAGGGAATTGTGGGACGCAGATGCGCCACAGTTCATGAACGCGGATGTGAAGGTAAGGCTACGTAGCGAAAGGTAAATTGGCGATTACAAAACTCGATTTGCAGAGTTTCTCCTGGTTGGTTTGCTGCGGCTTCGTAGGGAACGCGAAAAACAGGACACTTCGAGTAAGCTTGCGGCCAATGGCGCACATCAGGAGGGTGAGCTGGTGGCTTCGTTATGAGTGTAGGATGTTCTGGCTCTGGGTTGGGTTCCGGTGGCGCAGGTGAAGGCGCAGACGGCATGCTGCGTCGTCTAGGTCGTCGCGGACGAATTCCGGCGAGCTCTCGGTAGTTGGAAGGCCGACCACGAGAGCGGGGAGCCGCGCTCGCTTGTCCTATTGCGAGCATCAGCGCTACCGATGGTGTGTCATGCGAGCAGGTGTTAGGAAGGCCGGGACGCCGAGGCAAGGCGTCGGCAACTTGATTGCGCTCGCCTTGAACATACGTGATGTGCAAATCCGGGAGCTCCGCAAGAAAATCTACCCACTGGGCGGTGCGTCAGCGCAGAGACTTCGATGCTTGGAGTCGTTGGAGGTGGGTTAGACCTTGATGATCAGTGTAAGCCGTTACCTTGGAGACACGGAGCAAGTGCGACCACTTGTCCAGTGCCATGACCAACGCCAAGAGTTCCTGATCGTAGATCGAGTATCTCTGTTGTGTGTGGTTCATGACTTGGCTGAGGAAGCCGATGGTTTTGCCGTCTTGTTCGAGAACTGCTCCGATCGCATACCCAGAGGCATCTGTGCATAACTCGAAGTATTTCGTCGTGTCAGAGACTTGTAATGTAGTGAAGTCGATTAAGCGCTGTTTGAGCTGCTGCACCGCTTGCTTGTGAAGCTCCGTCCCTTCGAAACTGACGTCTTTACGCTTAAGATCAACCAGCGGCCGCGCAACGCCTGCATAGTCCGGTCCCATGAACATGCGACAGTGATTTATGGTACCGAGGAACTGGCGCAGTTGCGTTTCGTTCTCCAGCACCTCTGGCCAATGCCAGATGGCTGCGATTTTATCTTCTGCAGGTTTGATCCCCGCAGCAGAAATGGTATAACCCGAATATGTAATTGTTTGCCTTGCAAACTTGCATTTGCTGAATTTTGGGTAGAACTGGTGTCTAAGAAAAATGCTGAGGACTTGTCGCAGGAGAGAAACATGCCCAGAGAGAACCGAACTACAGATAAGCACATCATCTAGGTACGCAATAACGCCCTGCCCCAATAAAGGCTGTAGATAGGCATTATTATTGGCCTTGAACGTAGCGGGAGCACCCTTAAGGCCGAAGGGCATCACTCGGTACTCGAATAGTCCGAGAACAGACCAGAAAGCCGTCTTCCACCGGTCTTCCTTAGCCATACGTATTTGATGGAATCCTGCTTCAAGGTCCAAGGTGGAAAAATACTTGGCGCCCCCCAGCAGCTCCAGAATGGTTTGAATGGGACGTAGTGGAAAATCAGGGGCTATCGTAAGGGCATTTAGAGCCTGGTAATTGACAACCATACGCATCTTCCGCTCCCCGGAGCCATCATCACGTTTGTCCACCATGATCGTAGGAGAGCAAATAGGCGAATAGGTCGGTCCAATCCAACCACTGTCCGATAATTTATCTATATCCTGTTTGTGGAATGTGAGCTGATCTGGGGTCATATGGTGCATTGCAGATTTCGCTGGAAGTTTTCCAGGCACAAGTAGAATATGGTGATCATGAGGGCGCTTCGGCGGTAATCCCTTAGGTAAGGTATCGGGAAAAACCGCTTGATACTCGTGCAACACCTGGGCAACCTCACATGGAATATCCTGCGCCTCTGGCGAAGTTATCAATTCGTCAAAGAGTGTGCTCGAGTTTTGCCATAGGCCAGGGAGACTCCTCGTCACTCTCCGCTGCCACCGAAGCGGTTGAGGCCAAAGGACTACGCCAGCCGAAGAACGTGGGTTGATTCCCAATTAACGCGCAACAAGGCACGCCTTGCCATTCATTCGAGAGCCTTAGGGGCACTGCCGAACCGGCTTCGGGCAAAGCCAGTATGAGATGCAAACCGTGCAATGGAGCCCTGAGATCCTTTGTGTCAGCTGCCGCCTGATGAACGAGCGACGTTATCCGCGCCTTCGCCTTAGTCTTCGCGTGGGACTTATATCTTCTTGGAGGCGGGCGTAGGAATATAGCTGCCTCCTCGGCTGACAAACCCGCCACTTGTTTGGCCAATATCTCATATGTTTGCTCTGCTGGGGTCCTTGGGAGGACTACAGTGGGACTGTCGCCTTGCAGCGTTGCTTCACCAGTCCGAACGACCGGTAGCTCGCACCACTGGCCGTTCACATAGGTTCGGAGTTTGTCAGACTGAAAATACCAGGCCACCTTGTGTTCTATCGGCCAATCCAAACCCAAGACTAAGTCATAGGGAACGGGTCCCACTAAAAAGTCCCCGGAAAAGCGTGCATGTCCGCACCACAGCGTCAATCCCGTCACAACCCGATCACTGCGTAGTTGTGCACCTGTAGCTACGGTGAACCTATGTTCTTTTGGAAGTTTCCACACTTTCAGCTGCAGTCGTTCGACTGTTTTAGGACTACTAAAACTTCTCGAAGCCCCAGTGTCCAAAAGGGCCTCACAAGGACCCCCTGCGAGCTCAACGCGAAGTGCCGCCGTCGCACCCACACAACACAACGCTCCCCCTTGGTCGTAAGACTCTTTCGTGCAAGTTTCCCGCTACCAGTGTGGCACAATCTCTGTCGCGTCTGACCTATAGCCGTCTTCTGTTGGCTCTGCAGACTTCCTGCGACTATCCGCCGTCGCGTCCGGAGTCTCTTCACTCAGGATCGACGCTGACCCAGACTCCCGCCGCGTTTCCGAAAGCGGCTGAGTCCCTTCCGCGTGCCCATCGCTCGTATTAGTTCTTTCCGCAGTGCGGAGGAGTTGGTTTCCCCACTCAAGGGAGACTGGAATGGCATTAGGGCCTGTCGCTACCGCACATATCATCCCTTTGCCATGGCTACGCGGCCTAGAACGCTCGTCTCCAACCACGCCTAGGCCCGCACGTTTAATGGTTCCGTCTTCTCATGGCTACGACGGGTGGGCGCCCTACTGCTCTTGTCCACCGGGTCGGGCCGGCCTTGTTCATACGTAGGACAGTCCCGAGCATAGTGTCCGACACCGCCACACTTCTTGCACATTTCCCCCGGACGTTTGGTACGTTCCCCTTTGCTGGGGCAGACACGTGCCGGATGTCCGCGACCCTGACACTCAAAGCAGTTCGCGTGGGTCCGCCCAAAGCGATTTTCAATTTCCTGACGCCCACGGGGTCCATTAGCTTGGATGGCAGCCCTAATGGCTCCCCCCGGCCCTTTTCT